TGTCTTTGAGAACATACAGAAAGGAAACTAATTCCAAGCAAGGTTACTAGTGTTTGTCCCACAACATAAAAATGCCTGAAGTGGCCGGGTGTTGGTGGCAGACACCTTTAATCCCAGCACTCGGGAGGCAGAAGCAGGTGGATCTCTGTGAGTTCGAGGCCATCCTGGTCTACAGATTGAGTGCCAGGATAGGCTCCAAAGGTACACAGAGAAACCCTGTCTCAAAAAACAAAACAACAACAACAAAAACAACAACAAAAATGCCTGTAGTGGTGTGGAGCTTGTGATAAGAATGACCCCCATAGGGGCTGGAGAGATGGCTCAGAGGTTAAGAGCACTTACTGCTCTTCCAGAGGTCCTGAGTTCAATTCCAGAAACCACATGGTGGCTCACAACCATCCCTTATGAGATCTGGTGCCCTCTTCTGGTGTGCAGATATACATGGAAGCAGAATGTTGTATACATAATAAATAAATAAAATCTTAAAAAAAAAAAAAAAAAGAATGACCCCCATGGACTCATAGACCAAGATTTGAATGCTTGGTCACCAGGGAGTGGCACTATTAGGAAGTGGCCTTGTTGGAGTAGATATGGCCTTGTTGGAGGAAATGTGTGTCTGGGGCTCGGCTTTGAGATTTCAGAAGCTCAAGTCAGGCCCAATGGTGTACTCTCTTGTTGCTGCCTGATGATCCAGATACAGAACTTTTTTTTTTTGGTTTTTCGAGACAGGGTTTCTCTGTGTAGCTTTGGAGCCTATCCTGGCACTCACTCTGGAGACCAGGCTGGCCTCGAACTCACAGAGATCCACCTGCCTCTGCCTCCCGAGTGCTGGGATTAAAGGCGTGCGCTATCAATGCCCGGCCAGATACAGAACTCTTGACTCCTTCTCCAGCATCATGTCTGTCTGCCCATGCACCACCATGCTTCCCACCGTGACGATAACCACTGAACCTGTGAATCAACCCCAATTCAATATTTTCCTTTATAAGAGTTGCAGTGGTCATAGTCTTCACAACTTAAAAACCCTAACTAAGAAACGTGGGAATAGGAGGCTGGAAATCAGCCTTGAACAGTGCAGCATGGAGAAAAAGTTTCGTTACAAACTCTGACTACTTCAAGTTCCTCAGTAATTTTCTACTGGATATTCGTAGACACTAGACTTCACGATGTTATCTATCTGCTGCTCTTTGTTCTTGTACTTGGACTCCTTTAGGCACTCTGCTCCGCCCAGGACTGTCACCCGGGAGCTCCAGCTGACAGCTTCAGTGGGGCTTGCACAGTTGACATCTGCTGGATGTTTGTCAGCCCTGGATTTGATGGGATTACCTTTTGCTTGCTTTTTCAGGTGTATTACTCCAGTTGTCTCTGCTGGATGTTTTGCTATCTGCTACTTTCTATTTATTTTACTTCTGCTTGCTATGTATTTAATAAATGCACTCTTTTAAAATGGAAAGTACAGCTGTTGTAGATCATTCTGGACCATATAGAACAGTGGTTTCCTGCAACTTTAAGTGTATATAACCTTTGAGCTTTCTAAGTTTTGCTTCCTGAGTCTCATTAGCCTCCCTCCTCTCTTTAGGAAGAAATGTTACAATAAGAAGTAGCTACACAATGTGCCATCCCTTCCTGTGTATTATATTCTTTACATCCTCTTCTATGATGTTCAACTTGGAACACTGAATGGAATAGGTCAAATAGTGCTGAGGATTTAGAATAATTTTCCATTTCTTCTGCCTTCAAACTACTTCAAAATACTCATACTTTTCTCATGACTTAAAAGTGCCTGCCTGAGTGTGTGTGTGTGTGTGTGTGTGTGTGTGTGTGTGTGTAGGGGTGGGTACTGAAGGTACCTGATTTTCTACCATTGATATCTGAGCACTGGACCACTCTGCCACAGCAACAGTTATTCTCTGGAGGCTCACTAGCTGGTTAATGAGTCTCTGCAGTACACTACAGGAAAAAAAAATCCCTCCAGGACAAACCAGGCTGACACCAACAGTAATTATGTCTATAATCACAAATGTTTAGAAGGCAATTTAATAGGCACATAATACCCATTTAACAGCGTAGTTGCAATGACTTCCCCGCTGGGGCCTGAGACCTTCCCAACCATTGGCTTTTTGTCCTGGCTTATAGCACTACATGTGAGTTTTCTCTTGTGGAGCAGACTTTAAATCCAATTGGAAAATAATTGTTCACACTCCTAACAGTCATGCCACTACACACCAAGGAGCACATATCATCTCTTAGTATAGCATCAAGATCCATACCAAGTAGAAGGTGATGGTGGCCCATGCCTTTAATCCCAGTACTCAAAAGGCAGAGGCAGGCAGATGGAGAGGCCAGCCTGGTCTACAGAGTGAGCTCTAGGACAGCCAGAGTTATACAGAAAAACCCTGTCTTGAAAAATAAAACAAAATGATACATACCAAGCAAGACTCTTGTTGACAATCCTCCCCCAGCATCCTACATATTGCATTCAGGTATGAAAGCTAGGAGGGAGTTTTGTGTTCAGTGTCAGGCCAATTGCTCTTAAGTCCTTTCAGCCAAAGCATGTAGTGTCTTCAGAAATAAAACTTACAGACATCATTAAGGCTTAGGTTGTGTGTGTGTGGTGGGGGGGTACTTCAGGGACCTCCCTGACCAACAACTCATAGGGAGGTAGCCCACCCTTGGCCCTGGATATTTGCCTCCAAACCTTTCTGACTGGATGCAATATCCAGTACAGCCTGAAACTATCCTATTGCTTGTATTAGTTGTTTTGTCAGAAAGAGCATAACTTAGTTGGTAGAGTCCTTGCTCAACATGCACATAAACAAGGGAGAGGTGCTGAAATCCTAGCACTTTGGAGGCAGGGGAAGAAGGGGCAGAAGGGGCAGAAATTCAAGGTCATCCTCAGCTACATAGTGAGTTCAAAGCCAGCCTGAGATAGACACAGTCACAAAAAGACACCAGGTTAGTGTAGTAGTTAATCTTGATTGCCCACTTGACAAAATCTAGACTCATCATGCAAACAAACCTCTGGACATGCCTGTGAGAAGTTTTCTACATTGGGTTAATTGCCATGAGAAGATCCACCCCAACTGGGGAAGAAAAAGCAAAAGGAAGCTGAACAGTAGGATTCATTGCTCTCTACTTCCTGAGTAAAACCAGTATGATTCTCTAAGAAACCTAGAACAAGTCTCATTCGGTACCTGTGGCTCCTCCCAGCACTTCTCACCCCACCTCCTACCCTAAACCTCTCCAGCCCAGAGGCTGGGCTCCCCTTCCCTTAGCTTCTGATCCCTATGTAACTCAGCTCTCTTGGTCTCTTGGTTCCTATACTCTCTCTTTGTTCCCTGGGCCTCCTTTTCCTTCTCTCTTCCTCTCTCACTCTCCCTGCCCCTATTCTCTCCTCTCGTGGCCTGCTTCAGTCTGCTGGCCATGTTCTGTCTAGACCCTCCCTTCCAGACGCCTCTAACTGAACTCTCCCTCATATCTATAATAAAGACTTCAACCATGCCTAGGAATGGTCATGTCCTCATTTCCATTCACTTACTATGATGAGTTGCTTTTGTCAGGGTATTTTGTCACCACTATGAGGAAAGTAATGTAGTTGGGTACAGTGGCATGAAAGACACTACCCCATCCAGCCCTCCTGTAATCCACAGCTATTTTCCATGAATCCTTCAGCCTCCTCTTGCTGGGGTACTGCTCCTGCTACTGATGAACCACTGTGCTTCTCCTCATCTAATGGTCTCTGTAGAGCAAGCCTGGCTGCTTGGCTTGGCTCAAACCTAAGCAGGACCAGGGTTTACTCTTACCTGCCTCAGTCTTACCAACATTAGGATCACAGGTATGCCACTGTTTATGGTCATGGTCATGCATTTGGATTTCTTTGCTTTGTTATATATACATGTCCTTTTTAATATATAATATAAATCTATTTAAAATTTAAGCTGGCTGCGGTGGTGCATGCCTTTTATCTCAGCTCTTGGAAGGCAAGGCAGGAGGATCTCTGAGTTTGAGGCTAGCCTGATGTGCCTGGTGAGTTCCAGGATAGACAGGACTACGTAGAGAGATCCTGTATGTGTGTTAGTCTGTCAACCATGTGTGCAGGGCCTGCAGAAGTCAGAAGAGGGTGTCAGGTCTCCTAGAACTGGAGTTACAGATAGTTGTGTGCCTTTATGTGAGTGCTGTGAACTAAACCTAGGTCTTCTAGAGGAACAGTAAATGCTTTCTCCAGCCCACATTTGGATGTTAGTCTTACTTTCCCCCCATATTTCACACATTTCAGAATCGGAGTCAGTGAGGAATGAAAACAGAAACTGCCTTGGTTCTACTTTGCAAAGCAGAAATCAGACAACAAAGCAAGCTGATGGTTCTGTTTATTGCTTTCCTTCCCTACTTGATATCGAAAGTCTTCAGTTGATAGGATGTTGTGAAATTAAGGCAGAAAAGAGAAAAGATAACCCATTGCTATGTTCAGTGGTGGGACAGTGAAGGGATCAAGGACATGTACTATGATTCCTGTCCCCTTGCAGCTAGTAAACCAGTTTTGTTTGTTTGTTTGTTTGTGTTGAGTAGTCTTTATTAATGATTCACATCTGGTTACTTTTCCATGTGGTTGCTGGGAATTGAACTCAGGACCTCTGGAAGAGCAGTCAATGCTCTTAACCTCTGAGCCATCTCTCCAACCAAACCAGAAGTTTTTACTTATGAATTTTTTTTTTACTTATGAATTTTTATTTGTGGCAGATTCCTGCTGTGCAGCTCAGGCTGGCCTGGAACACTCTATCTTCCTGCCTCAGGGACTCAACCTGGCTCCAAATGTTCATTTCAACCTTTGAACATAGCTAAGAAAACAAAGATTTAGTAGGACTAATAATTTGTACAAGGTCTTACAAGTTTATAGGTGATAGTGTCTGTCTGATTCTGTAGCTATATTCACTTAGGTACAGGCACTGAGTAGGGATAGAATCCGATTGTAGTAACTAAAGTGGCAGTTTTGCTGAGTGAAAATGATGTATTGAGCAAACATGCCAGGAGAAAAGATGATGACTGACCATTGGATCAAGCTGAATTAGGTGTTGGATCAAAGTTCTGTAATCAGGTGAGGACCTAAGAATTGTTGAAGCTCTGAAATGAGAGGGACCCAACTGGAAAGACAAAGACAGCTGTTAGTAGTAGTAGCCATTGTAATGCCAAAGGCTAAGCTGTAATCAAGGGAGAAAATAGAGGAAAACAGATTCGGAAACTGAAAAGCCAGGCAACACAATAAGTTTAGTGGCCAGTCATATGTCATACATAGACCTACCTACTCCAAATTTCAGCAGCCACTGTGGTAAACATTCTATGTGAGCTCAAATTCTCTGTGGCAATGTCCCAATTGACAATGATAATTCTTTCTGCTTTGAATTCAGGCTCTTCTCCAAAGGTCCAGGATCACACAAATGTCACAGGCAAGCTCAGCAAAGCCTGAGGAAGCAAATGTTTCCAAGACTAACTCTAACTGTAGGGTAAGAAACCAGTGGATAGTACCCTAACCTATAGTCTTCTGGTATATAATCTTCTGGTATATAGCTATATATGTGGTATATATGCGAAGGTGAGATAACTGATAAATAGGTGTTTTGTTGGTGATGAACTTACACAGTAACAGTAAGTAACTGTCTCCGTGTCCCTGCTTGAAGAATGCAGACCCTGCTTCTCTGATGCTCTCTGTGACCCAAGGGGACTTGCATCTCCAGCTCCTCTACCTTAAACAGGTCACATCCACACCTGAAACCATGCCCAATGGGCGTGGTCACTATTACAGGTTCACAGGCAAGATGCCACTAAATAAATATGGGGTTCTCAGGGTGATTACCAGAGGACTCACTAGGTTTGATTCCTTTTGTTCATGGTAATGACGTTGACAGCACACCTCTAAGGATGTTAATTAACTCCTCCTTATTTGTTCCTGCCAACTCAGTTATCTCCCAAATTAGCCACTTATGTCCTGTCCTAACTTCTTGTCTCAAACACTGCCATAAAACAAAACACTTTACTGGGCTGGGAAGATAGCTCATTGGCTAAAAGCTTTTGTCATACAAGCCTGATGACCTGAGTTTAGATCCCTAGAACTGCTTTGCTGGGAAGATAGGTGACTCATTGGCTAAAACCTTTTGTCACACAAGTCTGGTTACCTAAGTTTGGATCTCTGGAACCCATATAGAAGTTGGACATGATAATACATAGCTGTGATTCTAGTGTCCTACCGAAAAATGGGAAGCAGACAGGCAAATTCCTTGGAGCTCAAGGGCCAGCTAGCCTCAAGGATGAAGCATAGTAGCAAAACAAGAAAGACCCTGCCTCAAGCAAGGTGGAAAGAGAGGATGGACTCTCAAACTTGGTTATCCTCGGACCTGCACATAAGCCCCATGGCACATATGTGCCTACAATTAATCACAGACATACACACCCCAGGAAAATAATCTTTATTGAAATATTAGCATTCTAATGACCCACTGCACACATAGTGAAATCATTTAAAACTATGACATGGAGTTTGTTGGAGACAATGATATTGGTGTCAGCACCTCATTCCATCAAGGAATAAAGGCATATGACCTAGAAGGGTCTGCATATGACTGTGAAAATAGGAGCTAATGGATAGTTATTCCATTAACACAAGACTCACAGTGAAATTTTAAAAATTAGTTTTTTTGTTTTTGTTTTTTTAAGAGACGATGAGCCGGGCATTGGTGGCACACGCCTTTAATCCCAGCACTCGGGAGGCAGAGGCAGGCGGATCTCTGTGAGTTCGAGGCCAGCCTGGTCTCCAGAGCCAGTGCCAGGATAGGCTTCAAAGCTACACAGAGAAACCCTGTCTCAAAAAAAAAAAAAAAGAGAGAAACAATGATGAACATTGAGCTGGGTGTGGTGGCACATTCCTATAATCTTAGCACTTGGGAAGCTGAAGCAGAAGGATTCTAGGGTTGAGGCCAGCTTGTGCTACATAGAAAAACTCTGTCCCACAACAAAATGGTTTTTTGTTTTGTTTTTGTTTTTAACAGTAGAGGGAACAATAATGTGGCCTGTACATGGCAGCAAAAATGAAAGAAGTTCCAGGAGCAACTCCACGCATGCCTGGGACCACATGGACCGTTTGTAAGAGAGATGCTGATAGAACAATAACTTGGAGGTAACCAGGCTTCACTTAAAAACTTGCAAGAGTCTGCAGATACAGGCCCTAGAAGGAGGAGAAAGGATGATAGTATTGGAAGGGAGATTATTGTGAACCAAATGGTGACCATTGCTGCTTGACAAAGTTCCAGCATTTCAGCATTGCAGTTCACACTTCTCCAACACCTTTTTACTTTCATTTTTAATGATTCTCAATAGTAATACCTTTTCCTTTGGGAAATTTTGTGCAGCCTTTGGAAAGGATAAAAATGTGTACAATGGTACCTTCTCTAAACAAAATAATTCTTTGGAAAATAAATCCCAGCCACCAAAAAACCAGGAATTCCGTTGTGTCCTCCTAATAACACCAAGAAGAGGAAAGTCAGAGATTTACTAGACACGCCTGATCCAAAGGATGAAATGCCGACAATTCGGATGTCCAGAGCCTGAGGCCATTGAGGGCAAAAGTTCAGTTATTAAGTATAGAGAAATCAGAATGGTATAGTATAATGGGAAAAGAGTAATACATCAGGACCTTCCCTTTTGGGAGCATTAAGAGGGGAACAGGCACAGAGGGAGAGAGAGAGGGAGGGAGGGAGGGAGGGAGGGAGAGAGAGACAGAGAGACAGAGACAGAGAGACAGAGAGACAGAGAGAGAGAGAGAAAGAGAGAAACGTGTTGAGGCCCAAAAATATCAATTATGATATTTTGGGTGCAAACGTCAGCTCAATTACAGGAGTTCTTTTAGATGTAGGCAGGTTACCTCCAGGTGGCCTGACCAAGGTGGAGAATGGTTACTAGTTTGTATAACAATAGACCTAGGCCCTGGGTGGGCCCACACCTATCCTGAGAGCTAGTGAAACATGCCTGCCGCTGGAAGGCTGAGGCCCTTGTGGAATGTCTGAGGGCTTGTATATGTGCCTAGGGACTGGTGAGAGACTGGTGAGGACGTGCAGTTCTAAGACTGTTTCTGGGATTAAAGGAAATATTTGATATCAGCTTTATACATGATAATACATGTCTTCTGCTGTCACCCCCACTGTTGGATAGCTATTTAAGAGGATGCTTGAATAAACTGTGGACTCCACCATGACTGAGAGTCCTCCTGAGATGACAATCCACACTCCCTCACTCAGGGATGAACCTGGGGTGTTCTGCTGGTTCCGATTGCAGCCCCAAAGACATCAGTCCAGAATAGATGGCCTCTGTAGCATGGGACTGATACAGGCCGGACCCCGAAGAAACAGGGTAGTGGTGGTGAAGGGACCAGCTCCCCATTTCAGCAGCTGTGACAGTATAACATGTGTTTGCCTGACCTTGCCTTGGTCACTAGGAGGTCAGATGCCTGCCTCGTGGCAAGGAACCAATCAGAAGTTAGCTGTTGGTGCTATGCTTTACGGCTCAGGGTGTGCTTTATGGATAAGTGCACAGCAATGACATGCAGAGCATAGCAACCGCCCTGGGAGGGCCTATGGGCCACAACAACCAGTTGGCCAATCAACACAGGGCAAGCTCTCCAAGCCAGGAGGCACACCAATCCTGAGCCTGTGTGTGTCCCTAGACACTACCCTTTTGCTGCCCTATAAGATCTCTATGCCGTGGTTTCTCCAGGTTTCTCCTAGCCATCCGCCATGGTGGGTGGATGAAAGGCCTGAGCTAACATGGGGTTAGCTTGTTAAACAACTGCAATAAAGCCTCGTGCTGTTTGCATCATGCTTTTGACTCTGCCTGGTGATTGGGGTGGCCTCTGTACTGGACCGAGATCCTGGGGACTTGATTCTCTGGGGGTCTTTCACTTTCATTGGCACATGCCTTTAATCCCAGCACTATGGAGGCAGAGGCAGGTGGATCTCCATGAGTTCGGGGCCAGTCTTGTTCAAAGCTACAGCGAAACCCTGTCTCAGGAAAAAAAAAAAAAAAAAAAAAAAAGGGGAAAAAGCCTATATAGTAAGACTAGGAAATTGTAGTATAGTTTCTGCTCCCCAGAAGTAGTCCTTTCCCCAAGGTCAGGCATTTGGATAAGGGTTTCCATTCCTTGGGCAGCTTGAGGAAAGTTCCTGCTTGCTAAAGCACACAAGAGGAATTGATGGACCTTTCATTAATTTATGACTGGTGCCTATTGTCAAGGTCAAGGTTAGCTTTCTCAATCCCTGATTTCAAGACACACCCCAGCTCACACACCCTTTTTCTCCCACTTAATCCTGTGTGCAATAAAAGGTAGCCTTTTCAATTAAACATTGCTGTCAGACATTGTGACTCATCCTCAGATCATGGTGCCCCCCCAACTCCATACATCTTTGGGACACGAACCCCCCCCCACCTGAAGCAAGTCTCCAGCAGTTTCAAACTGTCTGAATGAGGTGTGTACTAAGCGTAACCTCATCTCCTTTGGAGTGTAACATAAGACTATGGACATTACAAGTTTGGCATTTCACCTGACCCTTGCTAAAAGATGATCAGGGCCCAGGTACAGCATAGGCTGTTGTGACCTAATTCTGAACCCCCAAATCACCAAGAGACCCATTCCGATGCAAAAGCAAAGAGTCTTTTATTATTAACGAGTTAACTGCATTAACTCAGCCCCTCATCCATCCAGCATGGCAGCTGGCATGAGAAGTACCCAGAGAAACTGAGGTGGGGGTAACTTATTGGGCAGCATAAGGGGAGTGTCTAGGGGAACAAAAACATCTCAGGACTGATGCGCTTCCGGGCTTGGGCAACCTGTCCTGTGCTGATTGATTAACCGGTTGCTATGGCCTATAAGACCTCCCAGTTGCTATGCTCTGTACGTCACTGTTACACCACTTTTACCAGAAAGCACATCAGGTAACTTATGATTGGTTCCTTGCCATGTAGAGTGTATCTGATCTAGGGCAGCTCCTGCAAGGTCAGAAGGCTGAAAACTAACCACATGTGCTGAGTCAAGAGGCCTTTGTCTTGCTAGATCTCTTATGTAGCTGGTAATGGCTGCTAAAGCAGGGGGCTGGGTGAGGGTAGGTCTTCTTAAAGTAACTGTCGAATAGTCATCAATTCTTTCAATGTTCTTCATGAAGTACTGTCTGTGGTGATATATTATTTTGATTTATTAAAGCTTTCCTGAGGAATCAGAAAGCAAAGTCAGCCTCAAACTATAGAGATCAGGCAGTGGTGATATGCACCTTTAATCCCAGCAGCCAGAAGCTAGGAGGTGGTGGTACATACCTTTATGTCCCGCGCTATCGCCTCGCCAGCAAGAACCACACAGGACATGCGGATCCTTCTGCAGTAAAGCTTTAATACATCTTGAGAGGAGAGCATAAGTTTCCCAGAGCGGGGACCCCGAGCCAAGAATCCCATCCCCTAATAAAGGCTGGCAGCCGCTGCCTGGGACGTGTCACCCTATGATTGGCTTCAGCTCCTCAGGCCATATGAGGCCACGGAATAGGCAGAGATCAAGGAATGGAAGATTACCCAGCGCCTGCACAATAATCTTATTTACATTCAGTGCCTGCAGGCGCCATCATTGTAATGGAGAATGCAGGGACAGCTCCCTACACCTTTAATCCTAGGACTCAGGATTAAGAGGTAGTTGGATCTCTATAGTCCAAGGCCACCCAGATCTACACAAGTTGATCCAGTCCTAAAGAGAAAGCTCACACAAAGATGATCTCAGCACCTGGGATCACACACCTTTAATCCCAGCATTAGGGAGGTAGTTAATACAGGAGCAAGGTCTCAGTATGTGGCATTCATTCTCCAGCCACATTGAGGATAGGAAGACATAGAAGTCTCAGGATTCTCCAGCTATGCTGAGGAGAGGTTATAGCCTGAGGTTTGGGGGAGTCAGGATCACCTTTCAGTCTGAGGTAGAGTGAGAGCTACTGCCCACAGCTTTGCTTTTCTGATCTTCAGCTTGAAGTTTTAACCCCAATATCTATCTCTGGGTCATTTATTTTTCGTGCAACAACTCTCAACCAAGACCAAAGCTTATCCTTCAGCTGTGTTTTCTAAGCAAGTATGGATTAAATAATACTATTTATAAGGTAGGAAGCAATCATCAAATGCTGAAATGTCTAAAAGTTCCAAATATTCCAAAAACAGATGCCAGAGTATCACACCTTGAAAAACCAGTGACCACTGTATATTTTTTGGAATAAACACATTTCACCTGTGTTGTTCTTTTGCTGCAGCCACGGGCAAGGAAACATGAACCACGAGTCAACAAACCCACATGGAGTTTATTGAAAAGAAAGGGAAGAAGAGAAGGGGGGTGTTGGCCAACTGGGAGCAGAGAAAAAGAGAGAAGCGAAGAGGGGCAGAGAAGGGAGAGCAAGAGAGGAGGGGGGAGAGGAAGGGGAGGAAAGGGGAGAGAGGGGGGAGGAGGGAGATGAAGGGAGAGAGCGAGAGCACATGGAGGTGCTCACTTAAAAAGGGAAGTTTGCATATTCGTACTAAGTCCTTAGGCAGCCTCGAAGCCCGAAACGAGTGATGTAGCCATGATGTAGCCGCGAAACACAGGGCCCTTTGAGGTGCCTAAGTATCTGCCTGAATGCTGAATGCATGTTCCACCCATTGTCAGGGGGCGGGGTCAGCATAATGCAGGGTTCAAACAACCTGACCTTTTGTGTTAATGGACTCAACATAGTGTGGGTGATTAACATAATTGGGGCTCCAATTTGTGACTGAATGCTTTATCCTGCCTGAAGGATGACTTCAGGAGAAAAATGATAGATTTTTATACCCCGATGTTAAGTCTCTCCACCTATGCAATAAACCAGTTAAGCCAAATTAAAGCCCTGATCTATTTATTTATTTATTTATTTATTTATTTGTTTATTTAGGGTTTTTTTGAGACAGGGTTTCTCTGTAGGTTTAGAGACTGTCCTGGAACTCTCTTTGAAGACCAGGCTGGCCTCAAACTCACAGAGATCTGCCCGTCTCTGCCTCCAGAGTGCTGGGATTAAAGGTGTGTGCCACCAAAGCCCGTTGTAAAATTTGAGCTTTCTTTTTAGAAACTCTGTAACCTAACTGGGCTAGAGATTCCAAAAGGCCTCTGGTGGCTCTCAAACAGCCTTTTCATCTTTAGCAGCCAACAATAAATCATCTACATATTGAAGTTAGGGTACCTCAGGGTAATTACTACAGAAGAGACTTAGTCTTCCTTGAGTGCTTCATCCAAGATGGTGGGAGAGTTTTTGAACCCTAGAGGCAGTCTGGTCCAGGTTAGGTTGTCCTGATATCTCAGTTCAGAGTCAGCCCATTCAAATGAGAAGATGGACTGACTTAATTTTGACAGAGGGATGGAGAAGAATGCATCTTTTAAGCCCAATTCAGTATAAACTTTATGCTCTGATGGTAATAAACTGAGCAAACCGTAGGGATTTGAATAGTTGTGTAAATGGATTGTACCCTCTTGTTCACTTCCCTTTAGTCTTGTACTGATGTATATAGTCTCAAGTTCCAGGCTTGTGGACAAGCAACAAGGGGGTATTCCAGGCTGACTGACAAGAAATAAGTATGGGGATTTGAGAGATTGCTCAGAGGTTAAAAGCAATGGTTGCTCTTCTAGAGGACCTGGGTTCAATTCCCAGCACCCACATGGCAGCTCACAATTGTCTGTAACTCTTGTTCCAGGGGATCTGATACATTCACACATAAATGTATGCACATAAAATAAAGTTAAGTTATTTTTAAAAAGGGAGTAAGTATGCTTGCTTCAAGGAGGCACCTAATGTGAATCTTAATCCTTTCCAAGCCTCTGAACTGCTTGATTCGAATGGGCACTGCCCTAGATGTTAGATGCACTATGTTGGTGGCACATGGTTTGCCAAGCCAAGAGGATTGTCCTTGCCCAAACTGTAGGGATTTCCTGTGAAGGGACCAGCTCCCCATTTCGGCAGTCATGACAGTAACACGTGCTCTATGACCTTGTCTTAGTCACTAGAGGTTAGGTGCCTGCCTCGTGACAAGGAACCAATCAGAAGTTAGCTGGTGGCGTTATGCTTACGACCCTGGGTGTACTTTACAGACAAGCGCACAGCAATGACACACAGAGCATAGCAACCACCCTGGGAGGGCCTATGGGGCATAACAACCAGTTGGCCAATCAACACAGGGCAAGCCCTCCAAGCCTGGAGGCACACCAATCCTGAGCCTGTGCATACCCCTAGACACTCCCCTTATGCTGCCCTATAAAGATCTGTACACAGCAAGTTCGAGCTGTCTTTTGCAAGGCATCTGCCATGGTGGGTGGGTGAAAGACCCGAGCTAACATGGGGTTAGCTTGTTAAAAAACAATAAAGCCTCATGCAGTTTGCAGCAAGCTCTCGAATCTGCCTGGTGATTGGGGTGACCACAGTCGTGGCCTGGGACCCCGATATCTGAGTTTTCCGGGGGTCTAACACCTGGATCAGCAACTTTTTTCATTCCCCTCCCAGGGAATGGGCTAGATTTTGGAGGAGCAGATATCCCTCACTTTATTGGGCAGGTTATAGTTAAAGTCTGAGCAGGGCCTCCCAGTTGCAACCTAGGAGAGTCTTCTGTGAATGATATGGCTGCCTGGAGCTTGTTCAAGAGGTCCTACCCTAATGTGAGAATTACCAATGCAGAGTCAGGTAAAGATATTAGGGTATGCATTAGGGAGATGCCTTACTTACAGAGCAGCCTAGCCAGCTGGCAGGGCACGGAATAAGTAGAGCAAGCTGATGATGAAAAGGAAGAAGGGCCTCCCACATGCTCACCCCTCACTCTTAAACCTTCCCCATATCACCCTGACCATGCCCTCACAGTGTCCCCTACACTACCCCAGTAAAGGTAGGGGCATTCAGGAATGACAATAAAAGAATGAGTTGTAGTTCTTTGTCCTAGGTTAACAGTTCAGGCAGTGGTCAATTTGCATTCTTTGACATCCACTGTTGGCCTCTGTACTTCCATTGTTTGGTAAGAGGTCCCAGGGGCTCCTGTAATACCAGATGAGTAGCCCCTGTGTCCACCAGAAATTTAACAGGTTGACCCCCTATGGTGAAGGTTACCATAGGCTCCTGGGGTCCTGGTTCAAAGGATCCCCAGCCTCACTAATCCTCCACATCTAGGATTGGCTTGGGTTTGGGGAGGATCTACCTGTTTCGAATATTGGGCCCCAGGTTCTGGCTGTCAGCAGTGGTGGCGCCAGGAAACTCTGGCTCACCATTGTATTGTTAATTAACACCAGGCTGTAACTGTTTACCTGGTCTTTGGGTAATATGCCTCTTATTTGTATCTGTATGTGCCTAAGCATCTGAATAAGCCCTCATCTGGGCAGAGGTGCTGGTGTTATGGGAGTAACTTAGGACACAGAAGGTTAGGAGCGGTGTGGGCGAGCGGAGAGAGAGAACAAAGGAGAAATGGTTGCCTCGTGGTACTAGCAGGATGGTTAAGAGACACCAGAAAAGATGGTTAATAAACAAATGACTATAGTGCCGAAACATGGAACTGAGAGCTCTCTAAAGATGACAAGATGCCTGTGTTTGGTCTTTATCGTCGTTGCGTTCCTAGAAGCTTCCAAGTTCACACACCCCCACTCAGGTAGAACCTCATGGCTGTCGTGGGTTAAAGCTGAGACAAGCCGGGCCACGACAGACTTTCATTTTTCCAATGACCCATTTCATTGCCATAGACGTATTTGGCCTATCTCTAATAGTCCTGACTTGTTCTTTCCTGAAAACCTGTCCATCTTTTGTATCTTTTTAACACATGCTAGGGACTTGACTGGCTCTGCCACTGTTTTTTTTGTTTGTTTTTTGTTTTTTTATTTTTTTGTTTTTTTTTTAATTTTTTTTAAAGGCACTTTATCAGAAGACCAGGGAGAAAGGGGGGGGGGCAGATAAATAATGGAAATTTTTTTTTTTCGAGACAGGGTTTCTCTGTGGCTTTGGAGGCTGTCCTGGAACTAGCTCTTGTAGACCAGGCTGGTCTCGAACTCACAGAGATTCGCCTGCCTCTGCCTCCCAAGTGCTGGGATTAAAGGCGTAGGCCACCACCGCCCGGCTAATAAGGGAAATTTTTATTGATTTGGGAGCATTTTCAGGAATATTAGATTTAATACTCTGGCAAGAATCCCAGGAGATAGTGCCAACTTTTCCGCAGAATGGAAGGCAGAAAATGCTGTCCACATTAACTGCAGTTGGAATGCTAGAACTGCCATGACAGCAGAAAAAAGGCTTAACAGGCCCAGAAAATTGAGCATGCTAAATGGATGTGCTATGCAGAGGGAGAGGCTCTCCAGTACCATGTACTACAGTAAGGGCAGTGAAGAGCATCCCAGTCAAAGGGGCATTTGTATTTCTCTCCAGGGTCACTGTAGCTCTCCTTTGAAGGCCACAGTTGGTGATAGGAGAGGTCATTACAAAGGCTTCCTGATAGGAATGGCCACAGTGAGGTGTGCTATTAATAGACTCTGTGACAACACTTAGTGACCATATGGTTACAGTTTAATGTATGTCAAGTTCAGAGGGAAGCCAGGTGCGACTGTTTTGCAGCTTCAAAGAATGAGTGATTAGACATGGTATCTGTGATGGCTAGCATTTAAAATTGAAGATTACTTGAAAGGACTCTAGCCAGCCCAAGCATGGCAAACATAGCTCTGACATGTCTTTTGCCTTCTCCCCATTCTCTCTACCTTGTTAAAAACCATGATGGGGGATGTCCCTTTGTATGCTGTGAATATATATTTCTCTTATTGGTTGATGAATAAACCTGTTTCAGGCAATGGACAGGCAGGACTTAGCCAGGTGGGAAATCCAAACAGGGAGAGAGAATGGTAGGAGGCGGAGAAAAGGAGATGCCATGTAGCTGCCGAGGAAGAAAGAGACCTGGGCATTCTTGGGTAAGCAGAGATCACATGGAGATACATAGATTAATAGAAATGGGTTATTAAGAGAGAGCTAGCTGCCGGGTGGTGGTGGCGCACACCTTTAATCCCAGGACTCAGGAGTCAGAGGCAGGTGGATCTCTGTGAGTTTGAGGACAGCCTGGTCTACAGAGTGAGTTCCAGGACAGCCAGGGCTACACACAGAGAAACCCTGTCTCAAAAAAAAACAAACAAACAAAAAGCCAAAAAAAAAAACCCAAAAATGAAGTTGACACATTAAATTAGCCATCCCACAAACCTAGAAAAACAAAGTGTTCTTATTTACATGTGAAATCTAAAACAACAAAACTCATAAAAGCAGAGATAAGGGGACTAGAGAGATGGCTCAGAGCTTAAGAGCACTGGCTGTTCTTCCAGAGGTCCTGAGTTAAATTCTCAGCAACCACATGGTGGCTTACAGCCATCTATAATGAGATATGGTGCCT